AAAAAAAAAAAAATACGAAAGAACGAACGAACTCGGAGTAAATCCATCTGGATTTAAAGATAAATTGGTGTACGTGTGCGTCTTAAAGCAGGAAGAAGAAGCAGGATCGATGCGTTCGTTTATAGCTTTATATAAAGGTCTCGAAGCAGTTTTATTTCTTTCTATCCGACAAGAGAAAAAGAGAGAGAGAGAGAGAGAGAGAGTTCGATAGACAGGTACTACCACGTTAAGAATGACGTTAGATAAGTCGATTGGCCTGGTTTTAAAGTAACACTCTTTCTCTTTGAAAGGTTATTAACTGTCCTTGCAAAAAGGGTACTCTTTCAAAGACGATTATTTGAAGAACATATTTATCCCTTAATTCTACAATTAACATTACCTTAATTATTCTTTGTTATCATTAAAAAAATATTATATATATTTTATACGGAGATTAATTTCTATATATTGTATTATTGATTATTTATATTTATTTAGAAAAAATGAATAGGTTTAAAAAAAAATATCAAAGTGACCTAACCGAGAATTTATTTCTATATGCTTTCCACCCACGTAAAAATTATTTATATTACCTTATGTATCTCTTATTACTGTATAAGTGTTTTGTATAGAAAATTTTGTATATATCTTAATAAATAACGAGGAAATATTTAGGTGTTAATAATTGGTTGACCGCATATGTATTTGATGTATTATAATTATGGCAGCGGTTAATTATGACATCGGATTAATTGTAAGTAAACAAATTTGAAGAAAAAAAAAAATCTATATTACGATATATATTTTATATATCGAAATTATTTGTAATTAGTAAATAAATTTGTGTAGAACTTTTATTACTTTGAGACCATTATCATAATTATCGACACATTATTACGTGTATGTGTTTGCTTATGTAAAATATTATAATTATTACCATAAAATTTGTGTGGCCGATAATTAACATCGCGGATTCTGATTGTAAATAACAAAAAAGGGGAAAAAAGAAGAGGAAAAATTAATTTAAAAAAAAATCATATATATATTACGATTTATTTTATGTATCGAAATATTATTAATAATTGTATCGTATATTATTCTCTCTCTGATCGTATAAAATATAATTAATGATTATATTTGATATCTGTTGATTAAAAAAAGAAAATTAGAAATTATACTTACGGTAAAACTCCTTCGACGTCGAAGAAATGAAAATGAAGATGTACACGTTCGTTCAGTTGGCCATTGAAAAAGTAGTGACATTCTGTATCACGTGGATATAATCCTGGATAATTAGGTGATGCAAATGTACCATTACGAGTCTCGTTGCTGTTGAAAACAAAGGCACACGGGTATTTAGCCTCTTGTCGACCCGTCGTTATACCAAAATCTGAAACATTTAAACAATTTATTAATTTTAGTTACTTCCTTTTTACCTTACTTTGTTTTTTTTTTAATTCAATGACATAAATGTTCTATATATTCGAGTCAAATTAAATCTATATATTGGTGTGTTAGAGTTTCTTACAAATAATATTAATAATTATTATTAGTATGAATATAATGATAATATTTCATTTTTCCCAAAGATAAATATATTATATATTATATATACATTTCATAATTTATTAAACGTATACCATATATTAAATGATTAATATTAAACAATGAATTAACGAGATGAAAACGGAATTATATTAGAAAAAATATTAAATAATTATAAATATGTAATAAAATCATCAATGATAACGTGTTTTATTAATGAATTTTGTTTTATATAAAGAAAATACGAAAACCGATATTTTTTATATAAATGTATATATATATATATAATTGTATTATTGATTATTTTGTATTATTATATATTTTCTTTTTTCTTCTTCTACTTATAAATATTAAATTATAAATAAAAATATTTATTTGTATTATTATATATTTTCTTTTTTCTTCTTCTACTTATAAATATTAAATTATAAATAAAAATATTTATTTGTATTATTATATATTTTCTTTTTTCTTCTTCTACTTTATAAATATTAAAGCAAAGTTTTAATTATATCATGTTAACCAAAAAGCAGAGACAATTTTTAAATGAAATTGTAGCCATTCATTCCATTGGAAGTTGGTCAAATACGAGAAAATGATAAAATTTCACGAACTAATTAATGATCGATAATGGGCGTAGAATAAAGAGAATGTCTGAAAGGTGGGTTGGGTGAGGGGTGTTAGGTGAGTTAGGAAAAGAGGAATGCAATCAATGTTCGGATAAGAACAATGATTATTTCTTAAACTCTCTATCTCTCTCTCTCTCTCTCTCTCTCTCTCTCTCTCTCGTTACTCCAATCGTTAACTTGTAAATTAAATCGAATTGAATTTTCCAGCTCAATGATGAAATTGTATTATTACCGAGAACATTATCAAATTCCTTTTATTTTGTCTCTTTTCAATTACGTTATTATACAAATTAACGTATCAATTGATACGATAATTGAATTATCGAATGTTTCGAAGAACATAGGAAAAAAGAATGACTTACTTATAAACTGGACGTTTTAATTATTCCAAAAAAAAAAAAAAAGAAAAAAAAGAAAAACAGTCAATTTACTTCTGGAAACAAAAGAAAAGAAACCCCCCAATTATACACAAATATATTTTATACGAGTATATAATAT